ACACCCCTCATTTTCATACTTGAAATTTAAATAATAATTTTTAACCTAATGTTACATTTTCAAGTTATAGTGATTATTATTGACATACAGCTAATTATTTGTTTTTATATCTATAAATTATTCTTTTACATATTTTTAAGTGAAACAAAATCATGATGAAATTATAAATTTAAGAAAACCTTGGGATCTGAGAGATACACAGCAATTGAGGCACTTGCCTTGCATGTGGCTGACACTGGTTTAATCTCTGACACCACAGATGGTCCCTCAAGCAGTCAGAAGTGATCCCAGAGCACATAGTCAGGAGTAAGTTCTGGGCATAACGAAGTAAGGACAACCCCCTGCCCCCCAGCAATATATGTTCAACAAAAAAGTCTAACATTTGTAATTTTATTGTACATCTTGTCACTATATTATAGGCTTCGATTAATAACGTAGGTTTTGAAATCATGAGTTATTTTAATTTAGATATCTTAACAGACTTGAGGAAGCTTGGAAGGAGCATTTCTATAATGATTTTTGTCAATTACATTTCTCATTTCTGACTACCAAGGTTTATGAGAAACTTGGCTTTCAGCTAAAATGTCAAAACAAAAATGCTCTTACAAGTGTTCCCCCACCCACAACTCCCACCACTCTTTTATAATTTTGTGACATTTTTGTTCCAGGATTTAACTTTCTTTGGGACCACTCTATTTATTTATCTAGAGGACACACCAAGCAGTGCTCAGGGTTTACTTCTAGCTCTGCTCTCAGGGATCACTCCTGGTGGGCCTCTGGAGAATATGGGATACAAGAGATCAAACCCGGATGAGCCACATGAAAGGCAAATGCCCAATCCACTGTACTATCTGGAATGGTTCCTTAAATTTTAAGATGTAATCCTTTAGAAAATCTCACAGTATCCTTTTTTTGTGAACTACATTCTGATATTGACAGAGTTATTAAAATGGAAATGGATAACGAGTACTTCAATTAAATGAACTGGGGATAAATAGGTTGACAGAGTGTCTCGGGCATAGGCAGGTACCCTTTAGTGTGGAGTGCGGAGGACACATAATTGGGAAGAAGCGGCAAAGACAATCAGGGACTAAGAGAATTCAAGTGGATCTACTTACACGTCGGCTCATGCCTTAACAATTATGGGCCAGTAATACACTTTACAAATCTGAGCTACTACTTAGCTTTTGGAACGTCTTAAGCTAAATATGATTTTAATAATACTCAAATTAGTTCTGGTTTTAAATTATATGGAGAAGAGGAGCAGCACATTCATTCCCAGAATATGCCTAAACTTAAACTATGCAAGTTTTGTTGGCACATCGGTCCCTCCATGCCTTCACGATGGACATTTCCTCTCCAGTCACTGTTCACTGTGATATTTCATCCATCGGATCCAACCCTTATGGGTGACACCATCCAGAATTACCTTTTCCTGTTCCACATCATCATCTTCATCATCCAAATCTCCTAAAACTGTTCCTAAGACATTATCAATTATAGTAATTCACAGTGCACTGTAGTGAATAATACTATAGTTAATACCCAAAAGCTATATATTTTGGCTATTTCATATAAATTTCAGATTGTTTGAATTTATTATTATAGCAGTGTAATGAACTTTAGAAAAATAAAATTCGAAGACGTGTCATTCCATAATTTAAAATCACTTTACAGTAATAAAAATCCATATTGCTCTCTCAAATGTGGCTTTTTTTGGGACAGGGGAAGAATTTGTATTAGTTATCCTTGAAATGAAACATATTTTTTTTGTGTGTGCCCAAACTGGAAACAAGTGAAACAAAATTTAGTATTATAAATTGCTATCACAGGTTTTGTGCATTAGATAACTATATAACTGTAGCACTGCACTCTCCTCCTGTTGTTCATCGATTTGCTTGAGCAGGCCCAGTAATGTCTCCATTACGAGACTTGTTACTGTGTTTGACATATAAACTACGTCACGGGTAACTATATAACATTCATATAAAAGGTAGTTTATAACATGTAGTTATAAAAAGATGCTTAGAAAAATGTAGTTATTAATAAAGCACAAATTAATTATTAATAAATCTCAAATAAGCCTAATAAGCTATGTATATTTTTTTCTTACAAAACAGATCTCTAGTTCACTAATCTATGATGTATCACTGCAGAAACTAAAAGAACTTTTTGATACTTTAAAGCTCCATGATAAGATGTATCTCCCAAGGAACCTTATCAATATGTACTTGGGCATGCTTTGATAGAGTTTGACTTTAATCACTTTGTGCAGTAATCCTGAATTACTGCACATAGCCTCAATTTAAAGAGAGTACAATTTCTTGTTTTGCATCTAAGAAGTCTAGTGTAAAATCTTGGGGCTGGAGCGATAGCACAGTGGTAGGGCGTTTGCCTTGCACGCAGCCGACATGGCCAACCCGAGTTTGATTCCTCCGCCCCTCTCGGAGAGCCCGGCAAGCTACCGAGAGTATCTCGCCCTCGCAGCAGAGCCTGACAAGCTACCCGTGATGTATTTGATATGCCAAACAGAGTAACAACAAGTCTCATGATGGAGACGTTACTGGGCCCGCTCAGGCAAATCGATGAACAACGGGAGGACAGTGACAGTGACAGTGACAGTGTAAAATCTTGGTCATGATATATTCCAGAAAGCAGAACTTACTGTTCTAAACTTTCTCTATATATCTGAGCAGACTCTTCATAACCTGTAGTGACAACCACAGCTGTAATCTTTCCCAACAAGGAAACAAATGATGTTCCATACTACTAGGAATCTGATTCAGACCAAAGATTGTATTTAAAATGTACTAATTAGTCTCCAAAAAAGAAAAATGAAAAATAGAAAATTTGGTTTAGAATTTCTTTATTTATAGCAAATATAGTATATTTTGAGGAATATTCTATTCCAAAAGTGCAGAGACAATTGTTGAAATGTTAAAATGCTATATCTAGTTGAATAAAACAGTCTGTGATGGTACTTCAAACTATCTTCTCAACCCAGCAGCAAATACTCAGTATATCTTAATATTTCATTTTATTTCAACATGGAAAAAAAATAGAGGCAAATGATCAAATATATTTTTTGTAATCTGTAGCACTGTAGCACTGTCCTCCCATTGTTGATTGATTTGTTCAAGCGAGCCCAGTAATGTCTCCATTGTGAGACTTGTTGTTACTGTGTTTGGCATATTGAATACGTCATGGGTAGCTTGCCAGTCTTTGCAGTGTTGGTGAGAGACTCTCGGTAGCTTGCCGGCTCTCCAAGAGGGGCAGAGGAATTAAACCCGGGTCGCCCAGGTAGGCCCTGTGCAAGGCAAACTCCGTACCGGCTCAAGGATAATCTGTTAAGGAAAATTTTTCTTAGCTCCAGAAAGCTGATGGAATAGATTTCAAACTAATTTAATGATTTGAGGATTAAATGATAAAAGAATAGTTCTGTAGCCACTGGAAATTCAATAAATTTTTCTCTATCAGTCTGTGCACTGAGAATAACTTTGTAAAAACTATAAGACTGATCCAAGAGTTGATTTAAATTTGGGCTTAATTTTTTGGGAAGTTGTCAGACTTATAGTCATTCTCATTATAATATGTTTGGTACTAATAATGCCTAGTTCACCTGCAGAATGGATGTCACATTAAACTTGCATGTATAACAATGAAATACAAAGTAAAAGAGAAATTAACCTGTTGGAATCAGTTGAATAAGCAAAGAATTCATATCACTATTATTTTATTTCTACTGTATACTTTATAATAAGTACCCAATTGTAGCAATAATTGTAATTCTACTTTATAATCACTAGACTATTAAATAAGATTAGATATCAATTTTTGATTTTTAAATGAGCTAGAAATAAAACACACCTTCGTTACACCACAAACAACACTAGAGAAAAGACAATGACAATCATGTAAAGAAAAATGTTTCTTAAGGTTTGTGCTATTTACATTATTCTGGAACCTTTTATCAGTACAGTAATCTTGCCTTTAAAATCTGATTGTAATTTTTGTTTATATAGAAAAAGGATTGTAAAATTCATTTAAAGTGACTGAGCATAAGACTGATAGACTAAAAGTCAATTAATAGCATGTTAACTGAAAAAAGACTCAAACAGTACTAAAGACACTTGAATAAGCCTTAAAAATTACTGAGAGATTTAACTTTAAAAATAAATCTTCCTCCATTTTTTATATTGAAAGACTCACAAAGACAAAGATTTTGTGTGATTTGCTCATGCTCCTGAAAGCTTAAATGTTGACATAAAACAAGAAGTATAAAAATAAAATGTTAAGTTAGTAAAAAGTTTTGGAAATTCATGAGTGATAAGTAATTCACTGGGTTTAAGATAACTATGACATATATATACATATATATATTTACCTACCATAAAGAGACATAATTTCCTCCAAGAAGAAACTTTAATTTATTAAGAAATAGTAAAATAATTACATTTAATTTGGAATCTACTTTTTCTAAATCATGTACTATTTCAGTTTAATAATGCAAATATTGAATCATTAAAGTAATAAAACTTGGCAATACTACTTGTAAGTGAATTTTTTTCCCTTTTGGAATAGTTTACATTTGTACTAAAATAAATGTATTGTATGATTTGAAAACCTTTATTGGTGAATTTATGCAAATATATTTACCTGTGTTGTAGCACTATAGCATAGGACTTTAACAAACACTGTTGCCCATAAAATTTAATTACATTTTATAACAATTATGGAAAAGGTTTGAATCACTAGTTTGAAAAAATATTCATTACATGTTTTCTGATTTCTTTACATTAAGTAAAATTATGGTAACTAAATAGGATGTCCTCAAATAAACTACCTTTTTAAAATTAAGATTGTCTAAAGCCACAGATTTGCTTAGCTACTGAGCAGTAATTAAGCATTATTTTCTAGACCAAATTTATATTGCCCCTGTGAAAGAAATCTTAGCAAATATTTTAAAATGAGAAAAAAAATCTTCTATTGTAGTCTCTTACCTTGTGCTACACAAACAGTCCATAATAGAAGCCATACAATCTTCGCTGGAAATCTCATTTTTTTAATCTTTCAGGACACATTTAATAGCTGGTATTTTTCACAGTGGATCAGGCTCCCCTCTGAAAGAACAGGAAAAGTACTTGCTCCAAAAGGGAACTGAAGCAGTTTGGGAATTAAAGGGATTACAAAAAGCTCCGCCCATCAGAAACTTCTGCAAAAAAAAAAAAAAAAGACGAAGAAGAAAGAAAAGGAAGTCAAAACAAGCCCAGCAGTCAAGATTTGTTTGTCTAAATCCCGGACTTTTGGAAAGTGTTAAGGTTGTAGAATGTGAAAACAATAGCTGTTGATAGTCTGCATTTCATAAACCCTCTGACTATTCAGACCTCATTCATATCTATTGTGTTTAAGCTAAATCAAATAATAGAAGCTCTTCGAAAAATCATTTACAGAACTTTAGGTTAGGCAATTCTTTCACAATCAAGACTCAGACAAGGACAGAAGTGAACCCTGCCAAGAATGCAGTGCTGGCTCATTTGACTTTTTCCTGCAACTCATTTAACAGTCTTGTAAAGACTTGTTATATAAGGAGGTGAGATATGGATTAAGGTTTTTAGAATTCAAACACCCCCAAAATGTAAATGTTCACTTAAACCACCTTTGTATTGGAATATAATTTGCACTAAGATACAATTGAATGGCTTTCTAAGAAAATTAAGACACTGGTGTAACTAGTGGGTAAATAAAGAACAGAAGAGAAACACAGGCAAAAAAAACCTCCTCACCCACACTTCCTCCCACCAAACCCTCCTTCCCTGCACCCCACAGATACAAGTACCACATTGGGTGTCACTGTCCAGGTTTCTATGATGTGGGGATGGGTTTCTCTGGTCTCCTTCTTTATGAAATTGAATAATAAGATTCTTGGTAGCTTTAGATAAAGGTCAGTAGAATTAAGGGACAAATTAATATTTTAGCTTTTACAATCTTTATCTTTAGATCATCCAACTACACTATTGGTATAACTCTAGTCTGCTAGAGTCATCGCTCACAATATTCCATTATTTTTATAAAGCACATTTTATTTATCTGTAGGTCTGTTAAAATACATTTGAGTCAATCCTTGGAACTAATAAAACAGTGCTGCTATGAACATATTATGAAATATTTCCTCGATTCTGGTAAGTGACTACCCAGAAATAGAATAGATATAGTGTTTAAGTGTATTTAAGTTCGTGGATTAGAACATACTGAATATTTAGGTCCAAAAAAGGAATCTCAGGAGGCCAGAGCAATAGTCTAGCAGGTAGGATGTTTGCCCTGCACGCGATCAACCCGGGTTTATCTCCAGTAACTCCTGTGATTCCCCAAGCACCACCAGGAGTAATTCTTTGAGTGCAGAACCAGGAGTAATCACTGAGCATGACAGGGTGTGGCCCTTCCCCCAAAAAAAGAATTATACCACTGACATTCCCAATAAAAGTTTATGGGTTGCACCACACTCCCAAACACTTGATCTTTTTCAATATCACAATAGCTTTCTGGGTGAGCATAGGCAGGAAATCTTCATGGTTTTAAAACATACATTTCCTGAGGAATAGTGGAGTTGAGAAACTTTCAAACAGCATCTGTCCATTGAGGTATCTTTGATTAAGGTATCTCTTAAAGTCTTCTGTATGTACTTTTTCCTATTGAGTTGCCTTTCATTATAATAATTTCATTATAATAATTCTTTATATGCTTTGGCAATGAATACATTCCTAGGCATCTAAATGTTTTCTTTCAGCCCCTAACTGTTGCTTGGGTGGTTTTTTTTTTCTGTTTTTCCATTTTTTTTCTTTTTTCTTTTCTTTTTTCTTCTTTTTTCTTCTATGACTAGAACATTGGTATCCTATTTAATCCTCTCTGGCCTATGCCCAGGACATAGTGACGTCTTTCCTCAGAAAGCATTGTCTGGGCTAGAGCAATAGCACAGCGGATAGGGTGTTTTCCTAGCATGCGGCTGACCCAGGTTCAATTCCCAGCATCCCAGATGGTCCCCTGAGCACCGCCAGGGGTAATTATTTTTTTTACTTTTTGGGTCACAGCTGGAGATGCACAGGGGTTACTGCTGGCTCGCACTCAGGAATTACCCCTGGTGGTGCCCAGGGGACCATGTGGGATGCTGGGAATTAAACCCAGGTCAGCTGCATGCAAGGCAAACACCCTACTCTCTGTGCTATTGCTCCAGCTACAGGGGTAATTCTTAAGTGAAGAGCCAGGAGCAACCTCTGTGACCCCAAAAAAAGAAAAAAAAAACATTGCCTTCTCTTTTACATTTAATGCTGAATTCAACTTTTGTGTATGGTATAATACAGGGCTACATTTAGAGACATTTGAAAAATAATTTAATCTAAATTATCTTGTTTCATTTACTGAAAATATGTCATCCTTTTTCAATTTCACCACAGCATAGTAACTTTGATCATAAATGAGGTACCTAGATATGTGTAAATCCATTTCTCTGATCTCTTCATGGAGTTTACTAAATTCACCAAGTGTAGTAGCTAGAAGATCCACTCTAATTTTTCAAAAATATCTTATGATGTGTCCACTTGGGACAATATAGGATTATTTTTGTTATCTTCTCAATGGATTTTCTTGTTCATTTTTATTTTTTGTTGTAATCAGAATAAATGCTCTACGTAATCCCGATTTTAAGATTTGATTTAATCCCGATCTTTTCATTCACTCCTTTCTTTTTGTTTTGTTTTTGGATCTCACATGAGTGTTCACCTATGATTCTGGGCAAACTTGTCTAAACTTTTGCATTCCCAGTCCCCAGGATTCAGTGCTGTTTGAGTCCTGCAGTGACAGATGGCTAGTGGCAGTGAGGCAGTGGTTGGAGGTTCTGAAGTTCTGGTGGTATTAGTGGGGTCATGTGATTCTGGGGATCAAGCAAGAGTCTCATGTGTGCAAGGCAAATTCCCTAATCCTTATACTATCTCCCTAGCCCTGATGAGTTTTTCCTTACAGTTCATCTGTAGTCAATATTCTACCCATATCATTCAGCCACGTTTGTAATTCCCTTGTTCAAATCTACATTTTAATTGCTTTTTTCTGGCAATTCTATCAGAAACTATCTAGAGTATAAAATCTTGACTAGGATTATAAAATTATTTATTTATGTTAATTCTGTTGACCTTCATATATTTTAAAGCTATGACGAAGCTTCAATTTATTTATATTTTAGAGTTTAATGCTGGAGTGATAGCACAACGGTAGGGCGTTTGCCTTTCGCGCAGTCAACCCAGCCAAGCCGGGCTCTCCGCCCTTCTCGGAGAGCCCCAGCAAGCTACCGAGAGTATCTCACCCACGCGGCAAAGTCTGACAAGCTCCCTGTGACGTATTCAATATGCCAAACATACTACCAAGTCTCAAAATGGAGACGTTACTGGGCCTGCTCGAGCAAATCAATAAACAACGGGAGGACAGTGTTTGACAGTTTAGAGTTTAGCGGTAGGGCATTTGCCTTGCGTGCAGCCAGCCTGGCCTGCTGGCTGTGTCAGGTTCGATTCCTCCGCCCCTCTTGGAGAGCCTGGCAAGCTACGGAGAGCATTCAGTATGCCAAACACAGTAACAAGAAGTCTCACAATGGAGACATTACTGGGCCTGCTCGAGCAAATCGATGAACAACGGGAGGACAGGACAGAACAGTTTATTTTCAATAATCATACTGGCACATTCTCAACAAATGTGTCCTATGTTACTCAGCATCTGAAATCAGGAAAAATGAATATAGGACAGGAATCATAAGTCAGGACATATGATGGGCCAGATCGATAGTTCTGTGAATAGGGCTCTTGTCTTGCACATGGCTGACCTGGGTTCCATCCTGGATAGTTCATATGGTCCCCAAATCTTACCAGGAATGACCTCCTAATCACAGAGCAAGGAATATGTCTTAAGCACCTCTGTGTATTGCCCAACAAAAGTGAGAAGAAAAATTAAAAAGACACATAAATATAAATATGTGTTAGAGAAAAACCTCATGTTTTAAATCTTAGGCATAAGCAATCTCTTCACTAAGTAAGAAAGGACTGTTATGATTCCCAGAACTTTGGAGGAAGGAGAAATTTCTGAAAAGTTGGCTCTATTTAACATGGTCTCAAAAATATTCGGTTATTATACTGTATTTTAATAGATAAGAAGAGCAAATACTGAAGCAAAAAAATGAAGAATGTTAGAATTAATTAAGACATCAACTACCAGAACCATGATTTTACTCAAGAAATGTGATACAAGTAAATTGTTCAGGAAGTAATAGTTGAAAACTTTGAATGAGAAAAGATTTCATGCCAGAGAGAAATGTGCAAGTAATTGTAAAAACAACATATAATCTTTGATAGCGATGGAAAAAGAATGTATATTTAAGCAGCATCGCTTTACAGTTATAGTAGAATGTATGTAGGTAAAAGTATATAGATAAATGAATAAAAACTGCTGAATGAATTCCTTACGCATGAATTACACGGAGGTTCAATGTGACAGTAGAAAAGGGAAAAACAGACGCTAATAGCATAGCTTGATTTCCTTTGAAACTAAGAAGTATTATGAATTATGAATCAGCATTTCAACAGATACTGCTGAGGACCTGAGAGGTACCAAAGAGTTTATTTTACTGAATCATTTCTCTTTGTAAAAATTGAAACTATTGGTAATTTGGATTAAGGCGGATTGACTACATGCAAGTCGAACACCTTACCTCCTGTGCTAGCTCACTAGGCCTAAAATCTGCCAATTTTTAAGTAGATTGTTCAGAGTTTTGATTTTCATTAAAAATAATACTTGCTTCTATCATAAATGATGTATTTACATCAATTATAACACCATACTTATTTATTTATAATATTTTAATTAAAATATTTAAAGTCAATAATAGCCCAATATTTCTTTTAATGCCTGAATCATTTTTTGATATTTGGGCCACACCTGGTAGTGCTCAGGGTTGACTCCTGTCTACATTCAGGGATCACTCCTGGACATGCTCTGGGGGCATCATTATGGATGACAGGGATCAAACCTAGTCAGCCACATTCAAGGCAAGTGTCCTACCTACTGACCCTACTGGCCTACCTGCTGGTTCTAATGCCCCAAAATCTTATATACAAGGAACCTTGACAGTTTTCCAAAA